GCGAGTACAGAAGGTACTCTAGCCGTTTGGCGATCGTCGGTGCGCGTGCCGACGAGGCCGAGTGTGGGCTCGTCCGCGTCGGCCTAACCTAACCTAACCCAACTAGAGGGTTGCCCACCGCGGTGTTGGACCAAAGTCCAGCCTACGGCGGGCTCACTCTAGTGGGCCCGATCGAGGGGACTACGGACGCGGCCTGAGGGCGCCACGGTAGGCTCGGACCTCGGCTCAGGCCGTGTCCGGGGGACGGATAGGGGAGATAGCCCGCGAGGAGGCCGCTTATATTTATAACCTCCGGCCGAGAGGTCCGAGAGGCTGTCTCGCTCGCACACCCACCGCTCCGTTGACGGCTGCAGTCGCTCTGAGAAGAGGGCGACTTGAAACTGGACATATTTTATACAGGGTGGAATTTTGTAATGCCACCTGGAGAGAAAGTACTCTTAATACTGTAGATAGAAAATTTTACTCAAAGAAAACATTCCTTTATTTTTGAAAAGAAAAAGAACTGCATTCAAAGATTTCCAAAAATTTGCTTGCCACACCCTGAAATCGAACCAGTGTGTACCAAATTTTTTTATTCTTATTTTCCAGGCAGCAGAAGTGATACAGCAGCAAATAGAGATAAACCCAACTGTGAAACTGTACTGCCTTCTGGGTGATGCCACAGGTAAATACTTTTTTAATCCTTTTACTCCATAACCCATTTAACAACAATTTATTTTCAAGGTGATGTCATAATGTTGTGCTTATTTTTAATTTCATTTTCCATTTTCTCAGACGACGTTTCATGCTACGAAAAAGCGTGGGACTTCTCCAACCACAAGAGCAGTCGGGCCCAGCGCCATTGGGGCAACTTCCTGTTCGACCATAAGCGCTACCGCGAGTGTATCCCGCACTACGAGGCGTCTGTAGCCATCAACTCTATACAGGAGAGCGTGTGGCTACGACTCGGGTGAGTGCTACGAACACAGTGCTACGAATATTGTACTACTACATATTTTGCAATAATATTCACTTGGACTGCTACGCGAAATTGCAGTGCTACAGATATTTTTGTATACTCTTTGTACTGCTACAGATAATTGCAGTGCTACGAAATCGGCCAACGGTATCGGTAAAGTACGGCCAACGAGAAGCGATACCAAATGTAAAACAAACCCAATGTCATTGTTATTTGGAATAGTAGGGGTGGGTTGCACCACCTATCTCTAACGGTAACTATGACGATAACCGGTGCTTTATGTATGGAATTTGACAGATTCTTGACGTTTGTCAAAGTTAAAGTAAGATGGTGCAACCCAGCCTAAGGGTTTGACTTTGACATATTTTGGCGGGAGAACGAGACATTACGACAAATACACAAGATGGGAAGAGACAAAATAGATTGTCAATTCGAAAGTCGAATCGACCTTTTGTATCGCTTCTCGTTGGCCGTACTTTAATCTCTAGCATTTAACGATATTTTCGCTTTGACGTTTTTCGTCCCTCTTAGTAGAGTAGCATCGCTGTTCTCTCCTTTGTATCTATTTCCAACTAGTGCTCTTACGTGTCCAGATTCGCTGCGCTTCAAACAGAGCAATGGGAGACCTCGGCATCAGCGTACCGTCGCTACACCTACCTCCAGCCGAACAGCTTCGAGGCGTGGAACAACTTGGCCAAGGTGTACGTGAACCAGGGCGACAAGCAGCGTGCGTACAGAGCACTTATGGAGGCGCTGAGATTCAACTATGATAACTGGAAGGTAAGAATATAAATCCTGACTTTTTAGAGGCTCATCTGTCGTCTTGATATTCATTACATTGCCGGATTACCCAAATTCTGTCAATGCCTTCTATGCTCCAAAGTTGTGAAGGCAAGTTTACCCGATAGACTGAGTCAGGAAGAGGGTTTACTGGAAAGTTCAACAATTGATTGGCTCTCGAAGACAACATAAAACTCAGGACATGTAGCTCCAGCCAAAGAAGTGGCTTATCGTTTTCGAACAGATTGCCATAGGGCAGAAAATACATAAAAGAAAAAAAAAGTTTACCAGATATGTGACTCAATGTCATAACTAGCCTTTTACACGCTTGGTACAAGCTTCTATAACTATGCCCTTGTTTTCTGTCAGGCCTTTTCTTTTTCCCCCGCGATCTGCTTTCTGTGTCTGGGCACCGCTCGCACCGTCTCATTTCGATACTAGCGATTGTGTGGTTAGCAGATTTTCCTAACTGCACAGATTAGCAGTTTACTTCTCAATGGAATTGTGATCTAAGCGCTGTTATTTTCCACAGCTGTGGGAGAACGTAGTAACAGTGAGCATGGATACCGGCCACTTGGATGACGTAGTACGCGGCGTGCACCGCCTGGCCGACCTGCTGGGCAAGTTCCACGACGTTGAGGTGCTGGCGCTGTTGGTGCGCGCCGCCCTGCACGCGAGCACGGGAGCAGACGCCGATGGACACAGCGCCACCAGGTACCTAAGACGCTAGCTAAAGTCCGGTCGCCGAGCACGTAGAATTTCGTCCAATGACCCCAAGCTACCCATCCTTATCGCTCGCGCGTAATTATATTCGCGACTGTGCGACGGGCGGCCGCAGTGAGTGTGCGAGTGCGACAGCAATATAATTACTAAAGCCCGGTCTGTGAGCACGGTAGAATTTTGTCCAATGACCCCAGCTACCTATCCTTATCGCTCGCGCGTAATTATGTAGCTGTCGCGCTCGCACACTTACTGCGGGCGCCCGTCGTACAGTCGCGATAGCAATATAATTAGGCGCGTGCGATAAGGATGGATAGCTTGGGGTCATTGGACAAAATTCTACGTGCTCATAGACCAGACTATAGGGTTAGCTTGGGGTTATTGGATAAAATTCTACGTGCTCGGCTACCGGACTTTATAAAGGTCGCTGGAAGCAATCTTCCAAGAAGAGAGCGTACTAACACTTTAAAATCCGAAAACGCACCTGTAACTCCCCCGAGGCTGCGGGTGTCTATGGGCGGCGGTAATCACCTACCATCAGGAGTTCCGTTTGCCTGTTGTCCCATAAAAAAAGCTAATGGATGCGGGCAGGACCAGTTGTTTAAAAGCCTTTGTCCACAGTGAACGTCCTGTTTTTTAAACGAACGAACAGATTTTTGCTTAGAGTGAAAGAGAAAACACGATACGTAAGCGTGTCTATCAATAGCCACGCCTACTGAAATGTAGCACATTGATTACGATTCTTATCTAAACTTTTGTTTGCAGGTTACGGAAACAAATACTGGAGCTGTTCGGCAGGATCACCTCTCTGACCCCAAACAAGCCGGAGATATGGCAGTTGTACTCCGACATCAGTCCGACATATTTGCTGAAAGCGCAACGACTTCTGAAAGCTTATCGCGGCTATACGCAGGTATATGTTGAAATAGATGCATAAAGTGGTTATAATATTGTTTTATCCTGGTTCTGTTGAATGACTTTAATTTCCAATGATTCAAGTTTTGCATCTAAAACGAGAAACTTCATAATTTTGTCTATCTTGAGACGTTGTTTGTATTTTGACTACATAAGCCACGCCCCTCGGTATGAATGGTCAGTGAGAAAATAAAAAACAAGCGCTTTTTATTTTCAGAATGGCAACTGGTCGAACAGCCCAGACACGTGCAATAGAGTGATAGAGCTCGCCCAGAATCTTCTCGACTACAGTCTGAAGGCCCGACAGGAGGCCGAAGACAAAGATAAGGCGCAGTGCGACCAGCAGTTGTCTTCAGCTCGGCTCACCGGCCAGGCCGTCATCCGGGCCGCGGAGAAACAGGACTGGCCGCAGACCAAGGAGCCCTTGGAGGAGTTGACGAAGCTTTTCAATGAAATCACGGAATATATGAAATCAATTATGTAGTAAATTGTGTTTTTATTTCATTTCTTGTCATTTAGGCCGGGTCTAGATGGGTGTAACGTGTAATGTAATGGAAATAGTATGGGCAGCAGCACTTTACTTAGGTTCATGTAATGCTCGTAGTGCCGTCACACGTAGAATTCGTGTTAACATTACACCCGTCTGGACCCGCTTTTTACCCAGAGATTAGACCTTTAAAATAATCTTCAATACAATGTAGACATGAATGGAATAATTGTAATTCACAAAGAAGCTGCACAATCTAAGTCCTTTATTATTCTGTCTAATGGCCAATGGCTTTGCCTGGCTAACAGTCCTTTGCCTTTATTTAGAAAAATATTAATGTCAAAGTGACAGTAAAAGTCAAAAAGTTTTGACAGTTTGCGTTTCGTAACAGCTTGGCTTTCATTCACAAGCCTAGAAAAACATTAATTATTTTGATGAATTTTCTCAATATTCATAATAACGAAATCAAGATTTAAAATGAACGTGCTAATTAACTAGAAATAAAATTGTAAATTATTATTATTACCTGAAATGAAACTTCAACGATGTGAAAACAGCTAACACTACGTTTGTCAAAACTAAACGCATTCATTAATCACTGGGAAAGGGAGGTGTTGTTATCGTCGTGATTTTCTCTTTTAATTAATACAAATTACGCCTTAATTACTATGTACAGTTAGAAAACTACTCCACCATAATGGCAACTGCGAACGACGATGAGATTCTGGAGGGTTTCCTGTGTCCAATTTGCAAGGCTGACTTGAAATCTGCTTCGCAACTCACGAGCCACTTTGAGAGCCTTCATTCGGAGGAGCAGGATGTTCTGAAGTCTCTGAAGGATATATTTGGGAAGGCGAAGAAGATAATATTGAATAATGACGAGAGTGACTTGAAGGAGACCTTTGATAGGGCCCTGAAGTTGAATTACCAGGAGCAGGCATACTACCATTCTGAAGAGCAAGTGGTAGGTGTATCACGCAGTTCCACGGATTATTTCAAGGCAGTCCGCTCGGCGAGGCTGGAGAGATATGCTACTGAGACTAATAAACTACTAATAAGACTGGATAAGCTGGTGTGTAACATGCCCACTGATCAAAACTTGAGGAGACACCATGAACAAGACGTAAGTTCATCACTGTTGCGATGTTTATCCTTTAATCTGGTTCTATAATGAATAATGATGATGCAATCTTAAAATTATATTATTTCAGGTTGTTCCATGGCTAGACGGCAGCTCTGTGAAACTGTGCCCAAATTGTGCAAAAGCATTTAACATTACAAGACGAAAACATCACTGCAGACTTTGTGGCTCAATATTATGCCATGATTGTTCGATATTCTTAGATTTAAGTATTGCAAGTAAGTCATAGTCTTTTAACAACAAATTCTGCAATATTTTTTGCCATTTAGTTTTGATTTCATTTATGGTTGATGCTGCTATTCCATGCAAAATGTTTTTGATCTCATATTTCTTTTTATTTATCAAACTAAAAGTGAAGTAACATAGTTTAAAATGTTCTAATGATTTTATGTATTACTTTACAGAGGCAATAGTAGACCCATCAGCACCAAAAAACACTGAAGTAACAGACCAAGAAACGCTAGAGAAGACAGGTTTACGCCTCTGTGAGCACTGCTACAACCTCGTAGAGCTCCGCAAACAAGTGCAAGACAGCCGGAATGCCAAGACCATTCTAGTTACTGCGTATGAGCAGATGAGGAGTCTCATGGAACAGGCTAGACCAGCTGTGGCTATGTATGAAAAGGTATACTTACTAACATGTTTTGCTGAATAATAACTTTACTTGTTCTTTACTCCAAGAAAAATAATAGAAATTATACAAGGAACAATAAATTATTTTCATTGCCATATCATACCACCTTTAGTTGAAAAATTGTGATTTAGGTGTCTATTATTTTAAACGCAAATATTGGATTTGAAAAGTATGCTATCTTACTAAGTCAGTTTCCTATCTACTGTCTACAGTGTTATAATATTTTGTAGTATCTGACATAACTGAGACCAAGAAATTAATGCATGGTGGGCTAATCACATCATCTTTCACCAATTCTGCATCTAGCAAGAGTTGGTTGACATAATCATTTCAGCCAAATAACGTCCACTACTGGAGAAATGCTTAGACGCCAAGGATTTCATAACGACCGGTCCTGCATATACTCACGTTCAAAATACCACAGTGTCTCAAGACAAAAGTCTGATCAGTGTGCGTTGCTAAAGCCTGGTCCGTGAGCACGTAGAATCCCGTCCAATGACCCCAAGCTACCCATCCTTATCGCTCGCGCGTAATTATATTGCTGTCGCGACTGTGCGACGCGCGACCGCAGTGAGTGTGCGAGCGCGACAGCAACATAATTACGTGCGAGCGACAAGGATGGGCAGCTTGGGGTCATTGGACGGGATTCTACGTACTCACGGACCAGGCTTTAGTAATGGTATATGATTGTAAAAGTTGGTACTACTATAATTTTTAATATATCTTTCAACCAGTCTGAATGGTCATTTACAAACCAGTCCATTCTTCCAGATGTGTCAAAGCCTCTTCGACGGCGAGACGACGTACAACCTGACGGACGTCAACGCGATGCGCGGGCGCATCGGCAAGCTGGCCGAGGGCATTGACCTGCTGAGCAAGCAGATCGCCGCCCACCCCGCCGCCCCCGCCACCCGCCAGGCGCGGTTGCAAAACTCTATTAGGCAGGCGGCAGCTCATTATATTAAGGTATGTTTTAATGGAGCTTTTGACCCGCCATTTTAGTAAAGAATGCTCTCATTTCGAAGACACTGCTTGCTAATTGATGTGTAAGTAATCCTTGAAGCTCATAATCATAATCGCGATAATCCGGAAGCGGAGCGCATCGCTCCTAGAGCGTCTCCGCGGCACACAGTCTTTTAAAATCACTTGAAAGCGGACATTTTTTGGTGAATAGATGACATGATTTAACAAGTAAATCTAAGTAAATTCTTAAAAGAAACCCGGGGTCTATCTTCAACAGCTTTCGAGAAAAAAAAAATTTAATTTGGCTTATTTTGTGTGTGTTAAAATACGTTTTTTGGTTTATCTGTTCTTTTGTTGAAGTTGTAACACAATTGACTTATGTGAGTAATAAAGCACACAATTTCCCTTTTTTTGAGCTATATATCACATTCTAAAGCTTTGTAGATCCGGAGAAATTATAAAAAAACTGATTTTTGGTTTTTAATTTTTTAAATCTAAGTTGTACATTTTGAGCAATAACGAATTATTGCATGTTATAAAAGACCTTTTATTTTACTCACGAAAAAAAAATCACCGAATTTTGAGAACATACTTTTGAGAAATTTGCATTTGAAATTTCGTGTTATGCAACGCCTTCTGAAAAGCTCTTGGCAAACACAAACTTTCGTCATTGCTATTAAAATATTGTCTGACGATATTGTACTGGTCAATTTAGTGCAAGGCAGGCAGTGTTTAGGGTTACTAATTTGTTCTATTACGTACTTCAGTCCGCACTGGATGGACAAATGGAGATCAAAGTTGTGATTCTCCACTACAAATGAGATTGCGTATTAGCAATGACAAAAGTTTGTTTTTGCCAAGAGTTTTTCGGAAGGCGTTGCTTAACACGAAATTTCAAATGCAAATTTCTCAAAAGTATGTTCTCAAAATTCGGTGATTTTTTTTTCGTGAGTAAAATAAAAGGTCTTTTATAACATGCAATAATTCGTTATTGCTCAAAATGTACAACTTAAATTTAAAAAATTAAAAACCAAAAATCAGTTTTTTTATAATTTCTCCGGATCTACAAAGCTTTAGAATGTGATGTATAGCTCAAAAAAAGGGAAATTGTGTGCTTTATCACTCACTTAAGTCAATTGTGTTACAACTTCAAATAAAGAACAGATAAACAAAAAAACGTATTTTAAAACACACAAAATAAGCCGAATTAAAAAATTTTTTTCTCGAAAGCTGTTGAAGATAGACCCCGGGTTTCTTTTAGGAATTTACTTAGATTTACTTGTTAAATCATGTCATCTATTCACCAAAAAATGTCCGCTTCCAAGTGATTTTAAAACACTGTGCGGCAGTACAAATGGCATCCTGAGGGCATTGGCTTACCAGTGGGACTCGCCGCTGCTGGGGCGCTGGCTCAGCTTGCACGTCTCCTTTGTATCTTACTAATATAGGCTAAGTGAAAATTGTTACTAACACGATTATGAACCCCAGTCTGACAATATTTTTTTTTCATTTCATAATCATCCATACTGTACTGGATATGGCTCCCCTAAGGCACGTCACAACAAAGCATATGCCCGTTTTCACCATCAATCCCTAATTAATAATGACCCCTATGGTAATAATTAACAGGAATTTTGTTTACATAGGGGTCACTTAAAAATTAGGGATTGATGGTGAAAATGGGCAAGTCTCCTGTTTTTTATATCTAGCCACTGCTAGCTTTTTGATATCGTCGATCCATAGATTTTTCCTTTACTAGATTTGCCAAGGTCTCCATTTGAAGCCCGTTTTCTCTACCTACATCACGCTTCCTATAATATACCTTGCCTTGCCAAGTAACGTGTAAAAGGTTACTTTTCGTCCCGTAGGTCATCGTAGTATCAGATTTTTTTTTCTTAATAACTTTATACCTCGACATCACGAAATTTTTGAAATTCATCAATATAACTTTTAATCTAACCAAATATATCCTCTCTCAACAGGAGGAGCTCCTCTCCCTCCGCAAGCTTCCAACCGAAGCCCAAGTGGAGCAAGTCCGCCGTCAGCGCTACGAGAGAGCCGAGCGGCAGATACAAATGGAGCGCGAACGAATGGCGCGTGAACCAGTTTTGGAAGCGGGACCTAGCTCGGGGGCGGATAACAACCAACACGACGACGATGATCCCTTGTTGGAGCAGATGAATATTATCAGAGGGTACATTAAAGAAGCCAGGAGGGAGCTTAGGTTTGAAGAGGTTGGTATTCACTCTTGAGTAAGTTGGTACCAGATACAGGTGGAGCGTGAGCGAATGGCGCGTGAACCAGTTTTGGAGGCGGGGCCTAGCTCGGGGGCGGATAACAACCAACATGACGACGATGATCCCTTGTTGGAGCAGATGAATATTATCAGAGGATACATCAAGGAAGCCAGGAAGGAGCTTAGGTTTGAAGAGGTTGGTATTCAATTAGTGATAGATACAAATGGAGCGCGAGCGAATGGCGCGTGAACCAGTTTTGGAGGCGGGACCTAGCTCGGGGGCGGATAACAACCAACACGATGATGACGACCCCTTGTTGGAGCAGATGAATATTATCAGAGGGTACATTAAAGAAGCCAGGAAGGAGCTTAGGTTTGAAGAGGTTGGTATTCATACTATTATTAGAGTATTAAATTAGTGATAGATACAAATGGAGCGCGAAGGAATGGCGCGTGAACCAGTTTTGGAGGCGGGACCTAGCTCGGGGGCGGATAACAACCAACATGACGACGATGATCCCTTGTTGGAGCAGATGAATATTATCAGAGGATACATCAAGGAAGCCAGGAAGGAGCTTAGGTTTGAAGAGGTTGGTATTAAATTAGTGATGATACAAATGGAGCGCGAGCGCATGGCGCGTGAACCAGTTTTGGAGGCGGGGCCTAGCTCAGGCGCTGACAACAACCAACACGACGACGATGATCCCTTGTTGGAGCAGATGAATATTATAAGGGGATACATCAAGGAAGCCAGGAAGGAGCTTAGGTTTGAAGAGGTTGGTATTCATCCTTCAATTAGTGTCCTTTGAGGCCCAAGTAAAGCAGGTAATGCAGATGGAGTGAGAACGCATAATGTGAGCCAGTCCTGGAGGCAGGGCCCAGCTCGGACGATGACGACCCCTTGCTGGTTGGTATACACACTGGAAAACATCTTAACTGTAACTGGCATAGCAAGTTAATGTTCTGGAGCAAGGTTCTGGAGTGGAGGCCGCGTACCGGAAAACGCAGCGTAGGACTTCCACCCACAAGGTGGACCAACGACATCATAGCAGCATGGAAAGCATTGGGGGAGGCCTATGTTCAGCAGTAGCTATGTTCTCATTGCTTTAGGGTTAAATCATTTTATGATATCAGAAGTTTGTGTTTATCGACGAATGTATATTCTTATGGAAAGCCTTGATTGTATAAACCTAATTATTGTAGTAGTTGATAGAATTTACATCATTATTAGTACAATTCATTAAAACTTTCCTTTTTTTCTAGGTGGCGATATTAGAAGCGAATTTGAAAGAACTGAAAAAAGAATATCAATTCCAGAAACTCTCAAGCAAATCCTAGTCATTTCAAGATTATAATGTAAGCTTTAGCAAATATTTTTTAAATATTTACTTATGGCATTTGTTTTTATTTACATAAGTATAGCTTTACATACCTGTTAATTGAATTTTTACCTCCATAGTTTAAGTAATAAACAAGTTTATAAATAATACTATATTCATCATTTTGATCTCCATCAATACGCCCAACGATACAGCATAAAAAATACAATAACTAGGAAATATTTACATTGGATTTAAAGTTCTCAATGACTAGATTTTTAAATTCATTATTTGGCATACTTTTCTCTAAACTTCTCCAGCTTGTCTAGTTGCTTCAGCATCTGTGGTCTGGTACAGAGAGCTTTCTTGATAGCCTCATCGAGTAGTTTTCTTTGATAAAATGGCGGTATAGGAGTATCCTCGAGATGGAACGTATGTATTCGCCCTGTCGTGTCTCCCACAAACACATTGTCACCCGACGCGGAAAACTTTATGTACGTCAGCACCACATTATTTGGGAATGAGTACTCGGCGCACGGCATATGAGTCTTACGACGCAGATCCCAAATGGACAAGACATTCCCGCTTATCGAAATGAGAACCGTGGAGTTTATTGGACAAAAAGCCACCCCATAAACTGCAGCCGGGCAGTTCAACGTCATTATGACGTCATCCATGCCTTCGAGCCAAAGCCTCACGGCATTATCAGCCCCGCAGGACACCAGCAACGTTCTCATAAAAGGCGAAAATTCCATGCTGTATACTGGGCCAGCGTGCGCTCTAAAAACTTCCATGTGCTGGTTCAAATAATGCGTTGAGCATTTGTGAATGCACCCTTCGTCCGTCCCCACATAGTAAACGTGATCGATTGATGGATGCCATTTCATACACAGAGCTGCAGGGTACCTCGTGATAGGAACATCGACCTTCAAGCAAGTTTTAGCCGTTTCCAAGCCTTTCATTTTGCCTTCCACTGTAGATATCCGCATCATAGGAGTGCAAATGAAGTCGTGAGTCTTAGTGCTCGTGAACTTGTTCAACCTCCCGTCCTGGCAAGCGGTCATCACGAATTCGGTGTTGTTCTCTGCTGCGCGCCAGTCTGTCACCCAAATCGGTTCAAAGCAAGGATTTGTGTCTCTCTTACTCTGAGCAATTTTCTTAACCGGATATGAAGTTATGTCTAAAATCAGCACGTCCCCATTCGCGAACCCACACGCCAACCAATTTGGATTTCTTTCTGAAAAAGCAACAGAAGTAAGAGGATCATCGAAAGTGTAGACCCTTTCAGGTTTGCAAGGGTTTTTTGTGCACCAAACTGCAACGATGCCGTTGAAACATTCAGCGTGAGCAAATTTTCCATGTCCCACTGCTAATATGTTTTCATTTCTGGGATTAAATGATATGCTTGTAATTGGACGACCTGCAGTATCTTCACACTCGAGCGTCCATAACGGTTTCATTGTGTAAATATACACCAAGTCTAAGGAGAGGGGATCTATCTGTATGAGCCCTCGGAACTTCTTTTGTTCACCAGAATACTCCAATGTGGCAAGGACCCGTTCAGTCAAGAGGACCGCGTCTAAAAATTCAGAAGTTGGTGCTATTTCTTCAAATGTTTTTCCTTTTCTCTCGTCTGTGTCTTCGGAAACTTTCTGTTTCTTTTTACGCAAAAGGGTTGGCTCAGCAGATTGATATAAAACCATTTCATCAGGTTCCTCTTTAGGCTTTATTTTGGCTAGCTTAGCGTAAGTGTCATGCATGTCCCACATAGAAGCGAAAGATATTGCATTTTTCTTCTGAGGTCTCGTAGCTAGGGTGTGACGGGTCTGTGTGACACATTCTTTGGTCTGAGTTTCTTCAATGACCATTTTCCTATTTCTGCCCTTTCCCACAGTAATATATTGGTAATATTCATTTTCCTCTTCGACGATGTTCGCCTCAGTAGTCCCTTTTTCGTATGAAGAAGTTGGCAGTTCAAATAATAGAATTGTTTCTGTTTCTCTTAGCACAATCAATACCTCCGGTGGATAAGACATGATTGGTTTTTCTTTAGGCAAATAGAATGCTGAAGGTGCAATTTCTAAGTCGATGTCATCGGGTATGAACCCTTCCTCAGTGTTGTATGTGTGATCGATGTAGATGTCGTCAAGGGAGATGGTGGTCGCGTAAACTTTCATTCCCATGTCGGCGGAAGACTTTGACTTGGACTTGGACTCCTTGAGCGCTAGATCGCTTTTTCTCCGCGGCTTGCTTTCGAAAGCTGCGTGTGAGAAAGTGTCTTCCATGGTCACGAAGTCGATATCGACGATGTTGTCAGGCGTGGCGTCAACGCCGTCCACGATTACGCGGTAAATTTGCCGCTTTTCCATAAAACTAAATGTGCATTTGCTTTTCGAGGATGAGTCTTCCACGAAACTAATTCGAGACACCTCGAACACTGAAGTGGTGGCATCTCCACCTGCATGCACCGCGTCTGTAGCGGACGCTTGAACAGCCATGATTACTGCTAAAGTTAATGCAAATAAGCAAATTAATTACCTGGGCATATCCTATTAGCGAATAAATAGAAAATAAATATTTTGCATAAAAACACACAGTTTACGTTTTTACTGACATTGAAGTTTGTGACATTTGACAAAATCGCGCCTGTTCAGTGTCATTTTCCCGTGTATGAAGACAAATTGCCACAAAGAGGTTGCAAATATAATTTTCTGCGATTATGGTGGTCGAGTACCATGCAATGATTACCGGTTCCGAAGTTCAGTGCATATCGCACACTCGTCGCGCCTCGCGGCTTCCCTTGCCTAGCCAAGCGCACATCCGCTGGGGCCGAGAGTACGGCTTCTCGTAGTAATTTGCATCCAGCAAAGAAATGCTCACGACTTGCGATTCTTGGTTTTTTTATGGAAGTTCTCATAGCTCCAATAAAATGGACAGCCGGATTTTAATGCAAAAATACAATGCAATTTATGCAATGTCATGCCTATTAGATGTTAAAAATAACAAGATCGTAGGTACTTACCTACTATTATAGCAGATATTGCTTTTTATTAACACGTCTGTTATGGCATCATGCGACTGTAATTTAATAAATTGAACATATGTAGTTCTTTATAACAAGCTAGTTAACGTTTCAGTACTCATTAGTTCCAATTAGTGTCTTAACAATTTCTTTTGTCTAGAATTGCTGAGCGATAGGTTTATTGAGCAAATTAGTTACGGAACCATAAGGATGGATAACAGAGCTTTTCTGCACATAATTGGCTTCCATGTGCCCAGCTAAGTCGGAACTGGTGTCTTACTGTTTGTTTTGTGCCATATGATGTTTCTTGATGCTCATTCTTTAGGTTCTTTTGATGCAGACAAGAAAATTCGAAAAGTATCTACTGCAAAATCAGCCTCATTGATTTTCACATTCGCAGCAAAATTTTTTTGTGCATCAAAATCGGCACGGACCCCGAGTATTTTAATTTCTCTCAAGCGTGGTAACCCTACCGGGACACATATTGTCAAACGGAGTTTATCCACCCCGGGACGCTACCGTCCGGCGCAGCCAGCCGTGACGGCGCCGGCCTGTGTTATCGCGGGCGGTGCATTAGCTGCGCGGGCGCGTGCCACGGAATACCTGTCTATTTGGATTGGCGGGATGAAGAGGATCTTCAGGAGATTCAAAGAGAGTAAGTGGAATCCTTATTTTTATTGTTTAAGGTCCAAATTCGACTGGTGCTTTTGCTGATTGATTCGATAAGGGTGATTGTCTCGACAAATGCAATATTTTGGCACGCGAGCAGATTAGGAAGAGGCACATGGAAATTAGCGTGCGTTTTCAACTGAGATTCTTGGGCATAAATTGACGTGAACTTCCTGAAATATTAAAATCCTTTTGTATTCGCCGCACATTGCCGCTGCATAATTTATGGCAATAATTATTACGGTTTTAACTTTCTTAAAAGAACTCTGAGATTCCACATAAAACATAACTAATACTTAGGTACTACCTAATTAAAGACCTCGTCTTAAAATTGTGCTCATCTATCTGCCACTACTTCGAATGAAGAAGAGGGAGAACAAGGATCCATTGGTATCTAAGCTACTTACTGCAAGCAATATTATTTAAGTAACTTACAATTCAACAAATTCATGGAAGTTATCTAATTTGGTAATTGTTTGGCCAATTAGGTCTAAGCGTCTTATTTGGCATGCGTGTGATCCGTGGGCGTAATCCGCAAAACGATTTCAGCGTTGGGCTGAGGGCCTAAGGCTCCATCTCTTTCATTGGCAACATCGTCTCGTAATGAGTAAGAGAGACGAGCAAAGATTATATCGACCTCGTTTGGTGTGGTAGGACCTCTGACTCACGCTGGTCACCCGCCCATATAAGATCGTGTAGCGGTGACTTTGGATTTGGATGGCTGTGGGACGATTACCACAATTCTTTGTTAGTCATGTAATTATAGTATTTGTTTCACATTAACTTGGCAAAAACAATAAAGATGCGCCAATGTTTTTAAAGCTTTAAAAGGTCAGAGATGGATGGAATGTTTCAGTAAATAGTCTAGTCTAGCTAGATACGCTCATAATTACTGAAATCTTGTTAATATGGAATTGTTCTGGTGTTCTGCACCGAAAAGGCCCGAGTTCAATTTCCGACAAGAGCGCAATATTGATCTTCAGAATCATGTCCAGTTTGTGAGTTCGAAAACTTCCCATTTGGCTATTTCATTGTTCTTATCACTATGCAGATAGAGATATAAAATGCATTCAACAGCCTTCCTGGTCGAGAGATTAAGCCAGATTTCCTAAACTCATGCAGTGGTCCGTAGAATTTGGAATTTCGCTGAAGACAAAATGTTTCATGATCATGAATTCGTGATATATCTATTGTGTTGTTACGAATAACAGTTACCCAGTTGCTGAAGTAGAACCTTTGTTAGTTCCGCGTCAAGATTAAGATAAGCAGAGCAAGATAGCGTACTTACACGTTTCGCTCATACCCTATTCTTAAAAAAACAAAATGGCTTGCTCATGACGAGCGCATTACTTTTTATGAACCCTGCAATCAATTACTCAGTTCGACGACTTGCGCCCGCGCTTGCATAATTCTTACTTGTTTATTAAATCGGCGTAGTATCGCGTAAATTAATCGTCTTCATGGTCATGGCTAGTTTGAGAGCAAAAGGAGTGAAGCAGGGATTCTCAAACTTCAACGCGTACCCCCAAATAATAAGAATTTTGGAGACTGCAACAACAATACTACCCTGGGGTGCACCATCTTACTTTTTCTTTATCAAACGTCAAAAGTCGGTCAAATTCCATACAAAATACTGGTTATACACAACCTCATACACAACAAACAACCGAGGTTCAGTCAGAGCTTTGAGCTTATTTATTTCATCCAGATAAATATATTGTCCGCGTTCTTCCAATACAAACTCAACAAAAATCTGTAGAATAATAAAGGTTAATCCGTTCACATGACTTGCATGCATGGCAAGCGGTAACAATAAAATAAAATTTGCCTGCAGCTGCTCCGGTAGCTGCACGAACACACCGTAATAAAAGCAATCAGGTAGTCGTGACCCCACGTATGTAATGAATTAATTAATGTAACATTTAAATTAGTATTGATTTTGATAGTCAAATTATAGAATACAAAACTATAGGAAAACTTTTTTATTGTAAAAATATAGAGGTTGAGAGTCCTTTTCGCTTACGTGCTTTTATTGATGCTGCTAAAGTAGGCGGCTTCAAGCTAGATATTAGCTGTCCTTCCGAAAAAGCTGATAAAATAGGTGTTGTTTTCTATCATAGTCACGATTTAACAAAAATGGAAATGTAGGAAAGTCACGAGATTTTTCCAGTTAAAAGTTCCACTGGTTTTCAGCTCGGAAGTAGAAAACTACCCTACTTTATCGACTGTATAAAACATTGTGTGTTATCCTTACTGAGTGGTGCTGCGTTTACTACTTTGAGAAACCCTGGAATGAAGCATCGGATACAGCTAGAGTCGGCTAATTCCTACTCGGCCCGCCCAGTTTTCGTCGGTGCGTGCGTGTGTACGCGCCGATCGATGCCGTGTATCGTAATTGCATCTCTATGGTCAGTAATAATAAAATGAGCCATAGTCGCCGGTGATATACGTACCTGTCTTAGAATCCAGCCTTTGGAGTCTGGATTCTGGACAGCTGCGTCGGTGTAATGGTGGTATATGTGCTGATCGCAGTGTTAGAGAATTCAAAAATGTTACGTGACAGACAAGTATTTTGATAATGTTTACTACGCAGCTTTATCAGCCAGGTATGACTGATTCCCGTGAAAAAACTTAAGGGTTACACGTCATGCTTCTTAAACCTTCATTAGTTTCGCTGAGCGTATGATAAAATGCTTGTAAAGTCGCTAGTTTTTCTTTGTTTTTGTTATGTTTCAAATTAAAGTCGGGCATTTATGCCTACTTATACGTCTTGTAGTTAATGTTTTTTCACGAAAATACCTCGATACTGGGATTAATCAGACGTTACAATGTAGCGCAAAGGTTTCACCGCCTCTCTACATTTCTTCAGAACAAGATTACATACCATCTGAAAGGTTGTTCTCAGAAACCATTTAAAAATTTACAGATTACACAAAAGTAGGTGAGGTCGTGCCCGAGAGCTGAGGCGTTGCAATTTCGAAATTGTTCAGTTGGGCCGTCACCATGACAGGGCGAGTGTCCACGGGCGGCGCGGGCGCAGGTTAGAGGTCGGCGCGCAGACGAGGCCCGCCCCCCTAATTGCCGCGCCCCACGCAAATAAATAATTTTTATTCACCGGCGAGATCACGCTCCCTCTTGACCTTAAATTACTGTACGTAAAGCTCTTTTTTGTTAAATTTTAATCGGTTTCCCGAATGCCAATGGAATACCTTCGTGGGCACCGAAAAGCAGCCAGCGAGCGATGATCGCGCTTTTGTGATACCATCGCCTGCGTCGAATTGTTAATGATACGTTCTCGGCCTCGCACAGATGTAATAATTAAACTTTTTGAGATAAAGCACATACATACATTACGCGGGTATGTGAGAATAAAACAATTTCGGTACTCTACCGATTCCGTTGGCCCCGCTGGGTCAGCACCGCCAATATATGCAGATATGCAAGCATTTTTGTCTTTATTGTGTTTCCTTGTTACTTGTCTCCACAAAACTTTCGCTGCATACATTTATATCCTTATCCGTGAAAATACATGGAATTTCTTATGGCTTTTCATGCACTATCATAAAATAAATTATCTTTATGGTTTTTGAATCTATATATATAAAAATGAAACCCGTTTCGCGTTGTCACGGCATCACGTGTGAACGGCTGAACCGATTTCGATAATTCTTTTTTTTAAATGTTTGTGGAAGTCCAAGGATGGTTCTTACGGAAAAAAATATTAAGAAAATCTCTACGCTAAGGCGGTACGAAGTTCGCCGGGACAGCTAGTTCTTAATAAATTCTTTCTTTGGCATATGTTGCTGTTCTCGAGTGGGTAGGTAGCTGTACTTGACTGCATACCATACGATTTTATTGGATTGCATTTCCTTTCGGCAAGATCAAATCAAGAGCTAAAACATGTGCCTAGTTACATGACTTGGTGTGATGTAGATAAAAAGTTTTAAAATGAAATACGAGTAAATTAAAAAAAATATTCGCAACTTAATAGCAACGATTAACAAAAGAATTTAAATACTGAAGAATTTATTCAACTGATAGAAAAGGTTAAAAATTCGCCTTTCTTTGATGACATCTCATCAAAACTCTACATTTACTACAAAGTTGCTTTCATTTGCAAGCGACGTGCACAAAGGAATGACAGAGCATTTGATTGTAATGATGCCCGTCCAAGTTAACATT